CAGCATGAAACGAGCAGTTTTTGCGGCGGCAGCCGTGTTGCGAGGGTGCCCCGCTGCAGGGGTCGTTCGGCCGTCCACGCCAGGGCGCCCAGCTCCGCAAAAGAAAATGTCCTGGCACGCGAACGCCGATATTTTTGTGGCTTATACCCGCTGCCGTGCTTGCAGCGGTTGGTGTGGGTCGGGCCCTTCCGCCTTTTGCGAGGCAACAAATAGGGCCCCCCTCCGGCGCATCGAGCCCAGGGCGCGACCATTTTTTGCGACCAGGTCCCTGCCTCCCTCCCTCCCTCCCTCCCTCCCTGCACCCGACCGAGCACGGTGTAGAAATCGCGGGGCAGCGCACGTACATATACATGTGTGTACATACATGTATATATATATATACATAAATATATATACATATATATATGTGTGTATATATACACGTATATATATATATATATGTGTGTGTGTGTGTGTGTGTGTGTGTGTGTGTGTGTGTGTGTGTGTGAAAAAGCGTGTTCTACCGCTGCTGGCGGAAAGCCGGGGGGGGCCACTGGGGGTTCCTAACCCGTCCCCCCCTCGAAAACCGGGGGGGGGGTCACTACCGGTTCGACCCCCCCCCTCGAAAACCGGGGGGGGGTTCACTACCGGTTCGAACCACCCCCCGTCGCCGCCAGCAAACGATGCCCGCTCCTCGGGACAGTTGGAGAATGGTGGGGATGTTGGGACAGTGGTGGGAACGGCGGTGGTGGGGACAGTGGTGCGGGGACAGCGGGACAGTGGTGCGGACAGTGGTGGGGACGGTGGTGGTGGGGACACTGGTGAGGGGACAGCGGGACGGTGTTGGGGACAGTGGGACGGTGGTGGGGACGGCAGTGGTGGGGACAGTGGTGAAAGCGGTGGTGCGGAGAGTGGTGGGACAGTAATACAGTGGGGAAAGTGGTGGGGACAGTGGGGACAGTGATGGGGATAGTGGGGACGGTGGGACAGCACAGTGGGACAGTGGTGGGGACAGTGGGGACAGTGGTGGGAACAGTGGGACAACTCAGTGGGACAGCGGCGGGGACATTGGGACAGTGGGGACAGTGGTTGGGGCCATGGAGATAATTTAATGGGGAATGGAGCCGTGGTGGGAAGAGTGGTGGGGACAGTGCGACAATGGTGGGGGCACTGGTGAGGACAGTGGTGACGGTGGTGGAAATAGCGGGGACAATGGTGGTGAGGACAGTGGCGCTGGGGACAGCAGTGGGGGATGTGGTGCGGACGGTGGTAGGGACCCAAAGTTGTTTGCTGGCAGTGAGCGTGGGGGGGGAAGGGTTCGAACCGGTAGTGACCCCCCTCGGTTTCGAGGGGGGGTTCGAACCAGTAGTGACCCCCCCCCCAGTTTTCGAGGGGTTCGAACCGGTGGTGACGCCCCCCCGGTTTTCGAGGGCGGGTGGGGGGGTTCGAACCGGTAATGATCCCCCCCGGTTTTCTGGGGGGGGGGTCGAACCGGTAGTGACCCCTCTCTCTCTCTCTGCTTTTTTTTTTGGGGGGGGGGTCGAACTGGTAGTGACCCCCCTCGGTTTTCCGGAGGGGGGGGGGGGAAAGGGGGGGGCCAAGCTAGGTGCGCTCGCGTAATATCTGACATCCTACCCCTCCCTCCCATCCCTTACCATGGCGCAGATCCCCTCTCGACTCGCACAGTCCGATCTCAAGCAGGGCGATGATCCCGAAAGGGTACGCGATGCTTGTAGAGCGCGGCATGGCATGGCGTAGAAGAGCACCGCGAAGCGTAGTATCAACCTGGCATTGCATTGCATGCCGTGGCATGGCACGGGAAATGACGCCAGCGCTGCAGCGGGAGCACGAGTCAAAACGAGCGGAAGCACGGAAATGAGGCCAACGCTGCAGCGGGAGCACGATTCGGAACGAGCGGAAGCACAGAAATGAGGCCAGCGCTGCAGCGAGAGCACGATTCGGAACGAGCGAGGCCCGAAAATGAGGCCAGCGCCTCAGCGAGAGCAGCATTTTGGGAAGAAATGCGCGCGAAAACCTAAGTCCGGGGAAGGCTTCCCGGGCGCCAGAAGCAGAAATTCAGCATTTCAAAAAAAAAAATATATTGGAATGGCCTTTTTTCGGCGCCGCCTCGGAATTCGACTTTCCGGCGCCGGCCAGAACCGGCTCTGGACCTGGCCCGGGCGCCGGCCCGGGCGCCGGCTCGGGCGTCCGGCCCGGGCGCTGGCTCGGGCGTCTGGCCCGGGCGCCGGCTCGGGCGCCGGCCTGGGCGTCGAAATCGGCCCGGGAGGCCTTCCCGGGCGCCGGAAGAAGAAAGTCATTATATTTTCAAAAGAAAAATCTGTATTAGAATGGCCTTTTTTCGGCGCCGCCTCGGAAATCTCGGGGATCCTCTGACCCGGGTCAATCCAGACCCGGGTCAGCAGGAAACCAAAAACTGCAATGCAGGAAAAAAAAACTGCAACGCAGGTCCTCGCAAACCCGGGTCAGCCAATACGCGCGGCCGCCTCGCGGCCACGAGCGGCTCCCTGACCCGGGTCAGCCAGTGGGGGCCTTCGCAGGATCCTGCCGGATCCGGCGCCCTGGCTGACCCCCGTTTGCACCGACCCCCGTCTCGAGGCTCCCGAAAATCGATTTTCTGGCGCCAGCCGGAACCGGCTCCGGACCCGGCCCGGGCGCCGGCCCGGGCGCCGGCTCGGGCGTGCAGCCCGGGCACCGGCGGAAATGATGCCAGCGCTGCAGCGGGAGCACGATTCGGAACGAGCGGGGCCCGAAAATGAGGCTAGCGCCTCAGCGAGAGCAGCATTGCGGAAAATATGCAAGCGAAAACCCAACTCCGGGGAAACCTGTGTGTAAAAAAACAGTACGCGGGGGGGGGCGAATATTCCGAAGACGTCATCAGGGGAAGAGGGAGAGTAGTATTCATATTGAGAAATTGTTTAGCGGAGGAGGGGGGGGGGGTTTTGCGCGGGGGAAGGGGGGGGGAGGAGTTCCATGCAGCAATAGGGGGGGGGGATTTTCGAGGGGGGGGACCCCCTGGTTCCGGACGAAGAGGGGGGGGGAATTTTCCACAGTAAAGTGGCTGTGGATCACGCTCTCTCTCTCTCTCTCTCTCTCTCTCTCATATATATATACACATACATTTATACATATATATATATATATAGACAAGACTGCATTGGCGCTTCGCGCCATGCACCCTGGTCACTGCAGTTTGGCATGCAGGCGGGAGGGCAGGAAAGTAACACAGACAATTCGTCGATAACTCATTGTTGCCTTTTCGTACATCGCCGTTATGATAACGAGTTTCATCATCCTTCCCTCATGTTTACTGCTTCCTCTTCTTCATTTTCGACCTACCCTGCGAATTATTCCCATCCTCCTCAGCTCTTTTTGTGGAGGCTCCTCCTTGTAGAGCCTCTTGGGGGCCTCACGACAATTTTTCAGGGCTTCTTGGGGCCGTCTGGAGGCCTCCTGGGCGCCTTTTGGGAGCCTCTGAAGGCTTCCTCGGGCCACCCTGCTTCCAACCGCGGTCTCCCTAAACGACCGGTTTTTCGATTTGAATGCGTCGGGGGGCACATTGGGGCCATCTTGGGCCGTCATGGGGCTCTTTTCGGGCCATCTTGGAACCATGTTGTGCCGTCTTGGGGCTCTCCTGGACTGCCTGGAAGCCATTTCGAATAGTGTGGGAGCGATTTTCGGGCCTCCTGGGCGGTCTCGGGCGCCCGAAGACCGAAGAGCAGGGCATTCCAGAAATTATGCAAAAACCTTGAGGGCCTTCTTTGGGTCGTCCCTGGGCGTCTGGCGTGCGTCTGGGGCCTCCTGGGGCCCTCGGGGGGGCAGTTCGGCCGCCCTCCCGACCGAGCTGAGCCCGTTGCCTGGACCCAGCAGGGGCGCCCAGGAGCCCTGGAAAGCCTGGGAGGCTCCCTGCTGCAAGGGCGTCCGCGGGGGCCCCGGGGCCACGGATCCTGGGGGTCCGGTGCCTTTTTGAGGGAGGGGGGGATGGTTTTTCCCGCCCCCCGGCTTGCAAAAATATGGGAAGAGGTGTGTGTGTGTACACACACACACATATATATATATATATATATATATGTATATACATATGTATTTACATATGTATGTATATATACACATTTGTATACACATCTGTATGCACATATGTATACACACCTGTGCATATACATATATATGTGTGTATATATACATACACATATGTATACACAGATGCCTACGCGATGGGAATACCAGTCTACCAAAGTTGCTGTTCCCTCCTGGCTGTGGCGACGGCAGGCGGCGGCGGAGCTGCAGGCGGCAGCGGCGGCAGTGGCGGCAGCAGCGGCAACGGCGGCAACAGCTGCACACGGATCCTCAGGATTACCAGGCCGCCCCCCCATCGACCTCCCTAGAAGAAGTCTCAGAGTTTTGGCGGCGCGCAGAAGGGGGGGTAGGGGGAGGGGGGAAGAAGGTTTCGTAGAAGGAGACTGCTCCTTAGAAGGCGCCGGCCTTACATCTGCGGACAAGGCCCACGCCTTCTAGAAGCAGGGGTGCTTCTACGAAGCCTTCCCCCCTCCCCTTGCCCGCTTCTGCGCGTGGCCGAGAGTTTCTCCCCCGCCCCACCCCCCACCCCTCGGGAATCTTCTGACCCGGGTCAATCCAGACCGTGGTCAGCCAGGCCTTGCAGAATCCTGCAAGACCCTGCACCCAAACCCGGGTCAATGCGAAGGATCCTGCAAGATCCTGCAAGATCCTGCACCCAAACCTGGGTCAATGGGAGCCTGGCCCTGCAGGATCCTGCCAGACCGGGCGCTCTGGCTGACCCCCGTTTGCGTTGACCCCCGTCCCAAGGCTCCCGCACCCCGCCAGAGGCAGCGGGAGGAGGAGGAGGAGGAGGAGGAGGAGGAGGAGGAGGAGGAGGAGGAGGAGGAAGAGGAGGAGGAGAACGAGGAGGAGGAGAACGAGGAGGAGGAGAACGAGGAGGAGGAGGAGGAGGAGGAGGAGGAGGAGGAGGAGGAGGAGGCGCAGGCCTGAGGGCGCGCGACCAGTGGCGGCCGCGCTCGCCCCTGCTGCGCGGGTGCCGGCCAGCACGGGCGCGCGGGGGCTGCCGGCGGCGCGGGCGCCTCCGCGGCGGACGGGCACGCAGAGAGGCGCCCCGTCCCGCTGCTGGCCAGCCTCGCGTCCCCGTCCCCGCCCGCCGTGCACCGCCCCTCCCTGCCTGCTCCGGGCCTCTTCCGCCCCCCGCCTCCTCCGCGTTCCCTTGCCCTCCCCCCTCCTTGCCCCACTGCCCCCTCCGCACGGGGGAGGGGGGGGGGAGGGAAGGCGGGAGGAAGGGGGGGGGGCATGAAGCGGGAGGGAAGGATGCGGGGGCGGCGGCGGCGGTCTCTGCGTCTGGCGAATCCCCTTGCAGTCGCCCTGTTGGGCAAGGCGCACTCGGGGGCCACAGTTCCCGAGGAGGGCGACTCCGCCAGCGCTCTGGTGGACAGAGGGAAGGTAAACTGCCGGCAGGCAGCCTGACCACCAGCGGCGCCGCAAGCCCACTGGAGCGCAGGGTGCCACCCCCCAAGTGGCTATGGGAAGTCGACGAGCCTGGAATACGCCAGGAGAAAGGAGGAGGAGGAGGAAGAAGAGGAAGGAGGGAGCAAATGTGATGGTGGATGACATTGGGAGCTAGAACAAGAGTCGAAGTGGGAGTGAGAGTGGCAGTGGGAGCGAGGGAAACAGTGAGAGCGAGAGTGAGCGGGAACGAGGGTGAGGGTGACAGCGCCAAGTGTAGCGATACCGAGAGTGAGCAAGGGCGGGAGTTAGCATGGCTACGGATAGAGAGACAGAGAGAGAGACAAAGAGAGAGAGAGAGAGAGAGAGAGACAAGGAGACAAAGAGAGAGAGAGAGACAAATAGAGAGAGAGAGAGAGAGAGAAGGAGAGAGAGAGAGAGAGAGAGAGAGAAACCGATAGGTCATCGTTCGACCACCACGCGCCAGCCTTGCTGCTCTGGGCGCCTCGCTGGTGTGGAGTCGGCCGCGGTGTGGACGTCTGCGCCTCCACGATCCTCGTCCTCCGCCCACCGTGCTTGTCACTCAATCAACGGATTGGCTCTTTATCAGTGCAGTTCGCCCTGCGCACTGCAGAAATGACTCGACACACACACACACACATGCCACGTAGATGAATCACGACGGCCTCACACACACTGCGACAGTCCTCGGGAGAACGAGCTCCAAAAAGGAGCCGGCCACCAGGTGTGGCACACGGCAGGAAGAAGGCTGGAAAGCAGCGGGCTACGCGGGTGCGCTCGGGGAACTGCCCATGCACCAGCCCAGCAGATCCTGTCGCAAGTGGCCTGTGGTAGCGCCCAACCGATACCAGACGTTGGAGAGACGTCGACCCATGCAGGCAGGACGGCGACACGGCCCGGGCGCCGGCCTCTCGGCAGCTCCCCGTCGTGCAGCATACCCGTCTTGACGACCTCGGCCTGGGTCTCTGGCACCGCGTGGGTCGTCTGGCCCGCAACGCTTGGCGGCGTCTCGATCGCCAGCTCGCTCAGCAGTGGCCAACCGTTGGACTGGCGGCGTGCAGCCTGGAGCGCCCGCGGCGGGATCGGCGCCGCGCCGGCACGACGCGAGCCGGCCATAGAGTCGCGTCCCGCCCTGCCTCTGGACCCTCAGGAGGGGAAAAAGCACACAGACACAATGAATCGTCGACTCCCAGGAAAGTGCGGGAAAATATGGGGAGTGGGGGGGGAAGACAAAAACCCTGAAAAGATGGGGAAATATGGGGAATCTGTTTATCTGTGTGTATCTATTTGTGTCCTATGGGCCCCTTCAGGACCCCGCGAGCGCGCCAGGGACGCCGAGCCGGGGCGCGCGACGAGGGCGCCGCACCCGCGGGGGACGGCCGCGGCGGCGAGAGGTTGGGACTGCGACGGGGGGGGCAGAGAAGGAGAGAGAGAGAGAGAGAGGGGAAGGAGAACACAGCAGGAGCTCGAGCACAGGAGAAGGAGAGAGAGAGAAGGAAGGGGGGCAGGAGAAGGAGAGAGAGAGGGAGAGAGAGAGAGAGAGAGAGGAAGGAGAACACAGCAGGAGCTCGACCACAGGAAACACTCCGCAGGAGGCAAAAGGCCCTGAGACCCCAGGACGTCCACTGGCCTGTGGCGCAGGGGGGCGCCGCGCGTGTCCACCGCAGCACACCAGCGAAGCCCGAGAGAGGCCCAGAGGGCACCCTGGAGGCAAGCGGGGTGTCTCTTGGCAGAGGCCCCCACAGCAGGGGAAGGAGGACGGGGACGCAGCAGTGGGGAGGCGGGGATTTATCCATATCCACCGCCTGGGAACCGACGCCCTGGTGCCCCAGCGGGCGGTGGGTATGGATATATTTCGGCCCCCCGGGGCCCGAATATGTCCATATCCACCGCCTGCCGAGGCTCCGAAAACGGACCCTCCAGGCGGTGGATATGGATAAGTTCCCGCCTCGGAGCAGTGGGGAGAGGGAGGCAGGGACGTGCGAGGCGGAGTGGGCGGGAAGGGGGGGAGGGCCGGGGCCTGGAGCCCGGAAGGGGCCGCGGGGAGCACCACGGACCGGCTCGAGGCAAGGCGTGCGCACGTGAGCCAGCGCGGGCCCCAGGGCAGTGTGCCGCTGGCAGTCGTGGTGAGATCGATGTGGCGCCTGTCTGAGTGGTGCAGCAGCCTGCGTGGTGCGGCCTGTGTGGTGCACAGTCCGTGCGGGGCAGTCCGTGTTGCACGGCATGGGCTTGTCGACTCCACTGCTCGCGCAAACTGCCCACCCACCTAGCCGCAGCTTGGCTTGCAAAACCAATGCGGCGGCGATTGCGGTGACTGCCTGGTGAAGGCCAGCGCATGTCCGCTAGGCGAACGAGTCGGCCCTGAATACACATGATAAGCATGAGAAGATCAAGTAGAGTGACGAGCTGAAAAACAATAGGAACATGCTACTGCCAGAAAGTTCACCGCGCCAGCAACGTCAGTTCTGGCTAGGAAGAGAACCATAGATGAAGACGACGTGGAACATAATTCGCCGCTGGACAAACCTCCTTTTAGTAGACCTCCCCTTAGTGAAAACGGCCTGGGACCGAAACCGATGGACCTGGACCCGCAAAAATGACGGCCGCGACGCCCTCCCGCGAACCAAAAACGGCCAATTCATTAATCGACGTGTTAGGGTAGGAGGTCTGTCCAGCCCCGAATAATGAGGGGGGCCCACGACGACCATGAAGACGGTGGCGAATGATAACGATGCGATGGAAAGGAAATGAAGGCGAAGACAGAGAGCATACAGTGAGTCCTCCTCGGCCACGCCTAGCGCACAACGCAGCAGGGCCCCTCCTCCCGCCGCCGCCAAGAGCGTCTGCACATCGAGTGCTGGGCTCCTGTGCGCACCAGCGGACAATATCTGGATTGGGGAGCTCATCCCCAAAGTCTTGCGGCGTGACTGCATACACGTTATGCTTCGAGATGTGCAATTTATCTCATACGTTCCTGCAGTTTTTCTAAAACCTCTGCATTCCTTGATCATTCACGCCTTGTCTCCTCCCAGTCCACTGCTGTCTGGTACACCAACAGTACATAGTCCTCGCTATCTTCGCCCACAGAAGAAACTCGTTTGAGCTGCGAGTCCGATTCTGCAATTCATTACGATCGTGATCCCTCCAGACGCCTGTCGAGCTCCCAGGCGGGTTAAACTGCTCGATTCACAATTAGTGTCTCTGGGTGTCGGTAACTGCGTGTGCTGAGACTCGCATCCAGCGGGTAAATGTTGGTGTGTAGTCCCCGAGCCGCGAGCATGATATATGCATATATGCAAAAATCTGCAACTCGCGCAGGCCACATTCACGTGTTTGTTTATAATTATTATTGTGTTCTCAAACGTATTCGGAATACACGGGGTACAGATCAGGTCGTGCGCTGCCCTTCCAAGTGGGAGGTGCAATCCATGATGACCGGATGCGCCTCTTGCTTGGCTGGACATCGTTCATTTCAATTGTGATGCGGTGAAACCTGAGAGCCTGTTTGGTGCTCAAGCCGGCCAAGGCGATGGCCTGGTGGCTGGTGCCAGCGGGATGGCGCCAAACAGAAGTTCTTGCTGGCATGCTCGTCGTGCCAGAACTGAGGTGCATGCGCAGCGCAGATCGTACAGGGCAGTTTTTAACGCATGGGATCTTTTTTAAAGCATAGGATATTTCATACATGACTGATGTATGACTAAACTTGGGCATGAACTCCTCGTTGTTTTTAGTACTAAAAACCTGCATGTATAATACATGATCCGCACGCGGAGCACGTATTCAAAACGGCACTGTAGACCGTCTCTTGCCACGGGTGAGCGAAGCACGGATCTCGCAGCCCGTCGTCGCCGCGTGCGTGGCTCCCAGCCCGCAGGGTGGGCTTCGCAGCCCGGGGGGGGGGGGCCCACCGCTGCCCACGCCGCGGTCAGTGGTCCGTGCCTTCGCCTCCATCACTCCTCCTCCTCCTCCTCCTCCTCCTCCTCCTCCTCCTCCTCCTCCTCCTCTCCTCCCTCCCTCCCCCCCCCTCCCTCCCTCCCTCCCTCCCCCCCTCCCTCCCTCCCTCCTTGATGACGACGTGGGCACACCTGCAAAGTCACGCCATCCTCTGGAGCCTGCTGGCTCACTCGCCCCGTGCGCCGCTCCGCGAGGCTTCGGCCGCCCGTGCCAGCGAGCCTGGGGCCCGCGCGGATTGCAACCACGGGGCTCCTCTGCACGCTCGGAACCCCGGGGGGTCATCGAGCCAGCTACAGTCGGGCCGCTGAAAGAAGGCACGCGAAACAAGGAACGATGCCCCTTCTTGGCCCTGTGAGCGCCGCCGTGCCCCAGGAGGGCAAGAGGAACGGCACTGGAGGAACCTGAGGAACATCGAGCCCCTTCCCCAAAGTGCTCCTTATTTCGGCGTCTTGCCTGTACAACTGCGACCCCGCGCGGCTCTCGAGAAACGGGTCGCAAGGCGCGCCGCGGTGCGCGGGCTCCACGGATCAGCCGGGCGTCCGGGTTTCGGAGAGGCCCAGGCCAAGCGCGAAGCCCCGATCGATTGTTGGATGAACCAGACTATCGGCAAAAGGGGGGAGTGCAAATCATGACCGGCGGCATGTGCGCGGCCAAGCGGGGGGTCCAGGGACGTAATGAAATAAGAAGAGGCGCCATGAAATCTGGGGAAATATCATGGCCCCCGCCATGATATCACCCCCCCCTAGTCATCACCCCCGTCTTTGCCGCCCCCGAGACTAAGAGAAGCGTGAATCGGCTCAAGCCTCTAGCACTCGAGCTCCAGCCCTCGAGCGCTGATTCTTTGGCTGGCGTGCATTCGGAGACATAGCAGAGGGAAGGCGATAGGGAGAGAACGCAAACATCCGGCACAATCCCCTGACACGTCACTTAATCGAACACGTTACTCAATCGACACGCGCACGGCTGGGAATGGCTGCTGGACAGTCCTTACCCTGACGCTCCTCAGCACTGGCACTGGCTGTACCTGCGCCGTGGATACCACGGTGCTTCCCCCCGGACTGGCGCTTCGTCCTGGCCCGTTCTGTTGCTGGCCACAGGGCCCCAGAAGGGCCCAAGCCGAGAACGGCCCAAACGACCGAGGACCCCTCTTATCCTCAGGACCCCTCTCCTTCATAACGATCCTCCTCCTCCTCCTCCTCCTCCTCCTCCTCCCAGTTGCGCCCCCTTACCTTAGCTTTGCTTATCTCATCTTAGCTTAGCTTAGCTTTGCTTAGCTTCATCGTAGCTTCGCTTAGCTGTAGCTTAGCTTAGCTTAGCTGTAGCTTAGCTTTAGCTTAGCTTTAGCTTAGCTTGAACTTAGCTTGAGCTTAGCTTTAGCTTAGCTTTGGCTTAGCTTTAGCTTAGCTTTAGCTTAGTTTTAGGTTAGCTTTAGCTTAGCTTTAGCTTAGTTTTAGCTTAGCTTTAGCTTAGCTTTACTGCTACTACTAATGCTGCTTTCCTAGGGTCTCCAACTTCTAGGTAGGGTCACACTGGGTTCATATATATATATATATAGAGATATACTGGGTTTGCGTCTTCCCCCACACTCCCCATATTTTCCCATATTTTCCGGGGGAGCGACGCTTAATTGTGTCTGTGTGTCTCTTCCCCTCCTGAGATGTGTGCAGATAGCGAAAGAAAGCGGTGCCGGCAGAAACTGTCAGAGCTCTTCGCGGAGCAGCTCTGGGATCGGTGCCGAACCCCTCCCTGGCTCGCGGAGCACGCCGGGCACGGCGACGGAGGGGCCCCAGCGCAGATCGAAGAACTCCGCGAGGAGCTCCGACAGTTGTGTCAATGCAGCTGTTCTTCTTCGAGGCATCTGTACCACTCCTGGACCCAGGGCCTGGCCAGGGGCAGTGGATATATATATATATATATATATATATATATATATATATATATTCAAATAAATTCGAATTGGCCTTGGCGGGTTTGCGTGGACCCCCGGATCCCCGAGCCTCCCGGGGACTCCAAAACGGCACCGGAAGGCCCCCGGAGGGGTCCGAAACGGCGTCGGAGTTCCCCAGAAAAACCCAAGACGGCTTACGGAGGCCCCGAGACGACCCAAGACGGCTTTCAGGCGGCCCAAGATGTTCTCCAGACGGCCCCATACGCCCCAAAGACGCCCCCGGACGGCTCCGGGGGGGTCCGAGGGCTCCCCCAGGAGGGCTCCATCAAGCAAAAATGGCAACATTCCCTTCGTAAAATGCACATTTTCAACAGATTCGACATTTTCCTTTACGAAGCGTCCAAGACAGCCCCAGAGGCCTCCAAGATTGTCCAAGACGGCCCCCAAGAGGGCCCAAAGATGGCTCAGACGGCCCCAGGACGGCCCAAGGGGCGCCCAAGACGGCCCAAGAGGACCCCAAGAGGTGCCCAAAAGGGGCCCAAGAGAGCCCAAGATGGCCCCAAGACGGCCCAAGTGGCGCCCAAGGTGGCCCAAGACGGCCCCAAGACGGCCCAAGAGGCGCCATACACGGCCCAAGAGGGCCCCGAGGAGCCCCCAAGAGGTCCAAAAGAGCCCCCATAGAGCTCCCAACGGCCCCCTAGAGGCTTCAAAACTGCCTCCAAGAGAGAGGGCCGGACGAGAGGCGAGAGGCCCTTCGCAGGCGCAAAAGAACAATGTTTTACACTCCCGTGGCCCTGGCGCTGCCCGTCTGCGCTCCCTATTTTGCCGCGACGCCGTTCCGACGCTTCCGACGCGGCCCGAGACGGCGCCGCGTTTGACCCGACCCGCTCCCGCGTCCGCCGCGATCCCGACGCATATCTTCCAACGCTGCTCTGGCTTTGTCTCTTGAACTTTTGCCTCTTCCGAAGCTCGAACACTTCGGCCCCCGCTTCGGTGCATTGGCGGCGCTCAGTGGGGGAACAGCGCCAGAACAAGCTTCACAGGATCTACGGCAGTAGCTGGCAGCGTCGCACAACCCAGCACTCGCAACCAAACTTCGATCCGCGCAACTCCGTGGATTTAATCCACGGGTCCACACTAATATATATATATATATATATATATATATATATATATATATTCCTCTTCCTATATTTTTACAAGCCCGCGGGGGGGGGAAACCCTCACTCCCCCCAAAAAAAACTGGATCCCCGGGATCTGGGGTTCTCGGGCTCCCTTGGACGTCCTTGGAAAAGGTCACCCGGCTTTCCGGGTCTCCACAAACGCCTTGCCAGCAGACCCAGAGCGATCAGAGGGGTCATCAGAAAGGCTCAAGGGCGGCCCGAAACAGCACAAGGGCGCTCCAAGAGGGACTCCAATTGCTTCAGGACGGCCCAAAAGACCCCCGAGGCACCCCAAAAAGATTTCCAAGGGGCCTTCAAAACACCAAAATCGTCCCATTCCCTTCGTAAAACTTACAATTCTAGCATACTCGCCTTTCGGATTTCATCAGCTTTCACGGCTTCAAAGCCCCCGAGATCGCCTCAAGACGCCCCAAAAGGCATCCAAGAAAGCTTCAAGACGACCGAGCCAGGCCCCACGATCGCCCACGAGCCCCAAGACAGCCCATAATGGACCCAAGAGGCCCCCCAAGGGCTCCCAGCACAGACCCAAAAGGGCCATGGGAGGTCCCCGGAAGTGTCCAGGATGGGTCCACAGGGGGCTCCAGCGGGCCCAAGCTCCCCAAGACGGCCCAAGAAGGCCCCAGGACGGCCCATGAAGGTGCCAAAACGGCCCACGAGGGCCCCGAAAACGCCCCCACGACGTTTCCGAATGCCAGCATTCACTGATTTTGCTCCCATGGCATTCCACATTGTGACCCAGTCGTCGTCGCTGGTCGTCGCCGTCGCCGTCGCCGTCGCCGTCGCCGTCGCCGTCGCCGTCGCCGTCGCCGTCGCCGTCGCCGTCGCCGTCGCCGTCGTCGTCGTCGTCGTCGTCGTCGTCGTCGTCGTCGTCGTCGTCGTCGTCGTCGTCGTCGTCGTCGTCTTCGTGGCCGGGAGGGGCGCTCCGGGAGGGCGCCAGCCGTCCACACGTCGTCGTCGTCGTCGTCGTCGTCGTCGTCGTCGTTCGTTGTCGTAATCGTCGTCGTTATCGTCGTTGTCCCCGTTTCGGCCAGCGCGCCGGCTTTGCTCGGCCCGGCCCGGCCGGCGACTCAGGAGGAGGATGAGGAGGAGAGGAGGAGGAAGAGGATGTGGACCAGGAGAACGCGAATAAGAACATGAAGAAACAGGAAGAGGGAATTATACGCAAAGGGAGTGCGGAGGACGAGTGGCGAGTATCACCCAAACAGAAAACGAGGAGGGGGAGGAGCAAGAGGGAGTCGTGAGATCCGCTTCGCCCGGGTATGCTCACAACTCCCACCTCGGAAACGCTGTGCCTCGCAGTGGTCCCGCCATTTTCGCCTGATCCTCGCAACTCTGGAGTCCGAGACGCCCTGGCCTGAGGTGTTCAGGCCAATTTCGCCTGAGACAATCTCGCAAGTCTGACTACGGAGGTGCCCTGCACCATGGTGGTTCGCCTACTTTCGCCTGCGACTTCTCGCAACTCTGGATTTCGGGATGCCCTGAGCCGAGGTGTTCAGACCACTCTTCGCTTGAGACTTCCTCGCCAGGCTGACTTCGGAGATGCCCCGCCCCATAGTGCTCGGGCCAGTTGCGCCTAAGACATCCTCGCAACTCTGACCTCGGAGGTGCCCTACCCCAAGGTGGTCTGGCCACTTCCACATGCGACACCCTCGCAACTCTGCGTCCGGGGATGTCCCAAGCTGCGGTGTTCCGGTCACTTTCGCCAGAGCCATCCTCGCAACTTTCGGTTCCGAGGTGCCCTGAGCTGAGGAAGTCAGACCACTGTGGCCTGAGACCTCCTCCGAACTCTGATCTCGGAGAAGCCCTGCCCCAAGGTGGTCCAGCCACTTCCGCTTTGAGACTTTCTCGCAACTCTACGTTCCAGGGCTCCTTGAGCTGAGGTGTTCGGGCCACTTTCGCTAGAAACGGTCTGGCAGCTCTGGGTTCCGAGATGCCCTGCCCCATGGTATTCCGCCACTTTCGCTTGAGACATCCTCGCGTCACTGAGTTCCGGTCTGTCCTGAGCCGAGGTGTTCAAGCCGTTTTCGCTTGAGACATCCTCGCGACTCTGAGTTCCAGTATGTTCTGAGCGGAAGTGTTCAGGCCATTTTCGCTTGAGACATCCTCGCACACTGACTTCGGCGATGCATTGTCCCTTGGTAATCTGGCCATTTTCGCCTGAGACCCTCGCACCTTTCAGTTGCGAGATGCCCTGAGCAACTGGTCAGGCCACTACCGCCTGAGATACGCATGTGTATGCGAACCCATAGTTATATATATGTATATATATATATAAACATACAAGGCTGCATTGGCGCTTCGCGCCATGCACCTTGTTCCTTGAAGCTTTGGAATGGTTGGCCCGTGGTGCCATCTATTTTTCCATTTTAGCCGCGGTCCGCTGGTTCGTACTTCGGAGAAGCGCAGGAAGAGCAGAAAGGGGGGCAATCAACCTGGGACGTCCTCCTTCCCCTCCTCCGCTTAAGCCAATGGAGAATTAACGATTTGGAAACTTTTTGGAGCTTCGCCGGAGCTTCCCAGGGAGCCTCCCGAAGCTCTTTGGAGCTCTCTTGGGGCCTCCTTGGGCCCTTTCGGGGCGAGAGGCTCGTATTTTCAATTATCTGGTCCTCCCTGGGGCCCTTCTTTGGGCCGTCTCGGAGCGTTCGTGGGCCGTCTTGGACCGTCTTGGGGCGCGTCTTGGACCGTCTTGGGGCTTTTCAGGACGCTCTGGGAGCCCCTTGGGCCGTTGTGGAGCGGTTTTGGGGGCTTCTTGGGCGGTCTTGGAACGTGGGAAACCAGAAAAAGCGAGGACGCTGAAAACATTGAAAAACTAATGGGAAAGTAACCTTTTGGAATGTTTTTGGAGCCTCACCGAAACGTCTTAGGGGGCCTCCCGAGGCCATTGGGAGCTCTCTTGGGGCTTCCTTGGGCTCTTTCGGGGCGGGAGGCTCGTATTTTCAGATCGTGGTCCCCCCTAGGGCTCCTCTTTGGGCCGTCTTGGAACGTTCGTGGGCCATCTCGGACGCGTCTTGGGCCGTCTTGGGGCTTTCTCAGAACGCTCTGGGAGCCTCTTGGACGGTTGTGGGGCGGTTTTGGGAGCTTCTTGGGCGGTCTTGGAGCGTCGGACACCCGAAAAAGCGAGGACGCTGAAAACATTGAAAAACCAATCGAAAAGTAACAATTTGGGATGTTTTTGGAGCCTCACCGGAGCTACTTAGGGGGCTTCCCGAGGCCCTGTGGAGCTCTCTTGGGGCCTCCTTGGGCCTTCTCGGGGCGGGAGGCTCGTATTTTCAGTTCGTGGTCCCCCCTGGGGCCCCTTTTTGGGCCGTCTTGGAGCGTTCGTGGTCCATCTCGGGCGCGTCTTGGACCGTCTTGGGGCGCTCTCAGCGCGCTCTGGGAGCTTCTTGGGCCGTCTTGGAGCGGTTTTGGAAGCTTCTTGGGCGGTCTTGGAGCGTCGGAAACCCGAAAAAGCGAGGACGCTAAAAACATTGAAACACCAATGGAAATTCAATGATGTTGTTCTCTCGGGCCCCCTTTGAGAACGGTCTTGGGGCTCTCGCGGAGAGTCTTCAAGGCTGGGTGCTATCCTGGACTGTCTTGGGTGTCTCTGTGGGCTTGCGCCGACCGATTTGGCACTGCCGCCCGCCTGCGTGCACGCCTTGGAAAGGATCTTCGGCCGCCCCCGTGGCACGGATCCAGGGGGTCCCGTTTCGGGGGCGGGGTCCGCACCCCCGGAATTATTAAAATGTAGAAGAGGGAATATATGTATACATATGGGCGTGCACCGACAAAGCACGTACGAATTGCATGTACATGTTCATACCCTTACACACATAAACTAATATGTACATATGTACGCTGTATACACACATACAGCAATGTAAACATAGTGTGTACACCTAGACACACACAAACATATAAATATATATATATATATATACATACACACATATATATATGTGTATTTTTATGTATATATATATACAGAACGCGCATGCGCGTGCGGGTGTATACATGCATGCGCGCATGTACGCACGCACGCATTTCGCTTGCGTGCGGAACTCAAAGGACCAAGGTGCATGGCGCGCAGCGCCAATGCAGTCTTGTATATCTATATGTCTATATATATATGTATATATATATATATATAGATTTCGTCGATGCTTCTCAGACGGGGTTCGAATAGATCTGGACTCCCAAAACGGTGCGGTGACAGACCATGCGGTGACCTCGACATCCCCAAGACCTCACCGCATGGTCCGTCAACGCACGGTCTTGGGACCTCGGATGCCCCCGTCGTTCAAGAGATACTCGGCGAGAGGGACTCGAGCCCCAAAACCGTGCGGTGACCCCGAATCCTCACCGACTCACCACGCGGTGTGGTCACCACCCCGTTTGGGGGCCCCCGAATAGATCTCGTCGCCCGAACCTGCTGAGGCACTGGGCCTCGGAAAGACGGTTAGGGGAAGAAAAAGTGATATAAACATAAAAACTCGGAGGTCCGCGCGGATTTCTCGGATCGGCGCTGGGGCCCCCCGGCGGCGCCTCCGGCGCCGCCCCTGGCGCGCTCCGCGCGCCAGGGAGGGGGGTCCAGCGCCGATCCGAGAAATCCGCGCGGACCTCCGAGTTTTTATGTTTATATCACTTTTTGTTCGGGCAACCAGAGCTCCTGCTGCCGGGCACGCCGCCGGGCGGCTTCAGCGCCGGCGAGCACGGAGACACCGCAGCCCCAGGCGCGGGGCGACTAGCGGCGGCGCTCGGGCGGGCCACGGGGTCCATGGGGCGGGACTGCATGGCGCAAACGGCTGCTGCAAAGGGGAGGGGGAGGAGGAGGAGGAGGAGGAGGAGGAGGAGGAGGAGGAGGAGGAGGAGGAGGAGGAGGAGGAGGGGAGGAGGAGGAGGCGGAGGAGGAGGAGGAGGAGGAGGAGGAGGGACGAGGAGGTGCGGCAGCCTCAGGCCTCAGGACATGCAGAAGACCGAACTGAATTGGAATGGGGAATCCCCGAGCCCGCCAGCAGCCGCACCACGCCAGCAGGCAGCCAGAGGGCAGGGGCAGGGGGCTTCTGGCCTCCTGCCCTGCAGCTCGACAGCCGCACAATGCAACCTGTGGAAATCGGCCCCCACGAGAGAACGGAACGCATTGCACGTGACACCACATTGATCCCCTGCGTTCAACCGGTGCTCCACCCCACCCCTCCCCATCTTTTCGCCCGCACGCGGCGGCGCCAACTTGAGGGGCCCCCTCTCGCCCGCCAGCAGCCCGACAGCGGCTGCGCAAGCAGCTCGAAGCCTGAGGGCGAACGAGACTCGGCGTCACGCTCCCCAGCGCCTCCTGGGCGTCAGGGGCCACGACGCACTCCCCTCGAGCCCTCGCCGCACCCGTCCTGCCTGCCTCGCAGCCGCTCAGCTCGCGGCTCGCGCTGCCCCTGCAGCCGCCGGCGCGAGCTCGGCCGACGGCTGTGCCGGGGCCCTCGTGGGCCCCTCCTCCGACGGGGCCCTCCCGGGGGCGCGGCAGGCCGTCCGGCAGCTCTGCCGCAGCGCGCTGCCGCCGACCCCCCCCGCGCGCCGCCCCGATGCGGCCCCTCTTCGGCCGTGGGGCACGGCTGCGCCGCACCGGGCGGCTCCGACGCCCCGCAGCGCACGCGGTCCTCCACGCAAGCTGCTGCATCCTGTTGGCCCTCGTGACGCACCCGTTCGGCAGTCCCGCCCCGTTTTCACTGTGCCCCGCCGGCCGGGTCTGACCAGGCTCGGGGCTGACGGCGCCTGCGTCCTTCTGGTTGGCAGCACCGTCCGCGAGGCTCTTCTGCTTCGGGTTGGTTGTCTTCCTCTGCGCTCTTCCCGCTGGCTGGACATCGCCAATACCCGCCCTCTGACGGACAGCACCTTGCGCGAGGTGGCAGGCCACCTCGGGCCCCGCTTTCAGATGGCCCAGGCTCCGCCCGAGGTGGCTGTCCGAAATCCGCGCGGAGCGCCAAAAGTTTATGTTTATGGTGTTTTTTCTTCTTCTATGAAGGTGGGCACCCTGCTCCGTCACCTCCACCATCTGGCCTCTGGCCCCACCGAGGTGCGGGAACCCTCATCCTCTTCCTCCTCCTCCTCCTCCTCCTCCTCCTCCTCCTCCTCCTCCTCCTCCTCCGCCTCCGCCTCCGCCTCCTCCTCCTCCTCCTTCTCCTCCTCCTCCAGTGGCGGAACCCCTGGGGAAGCCACCAGTGCCAACGCCGCCTCCCGCGGGCGCCCCCACCGCTCGTGATCCGACGGGCCGTCGCCCCTCGGCTGTTCCGATCTTCGCCAGGCAGCGCGCCTCGTTCTCTGGGCGCTACGGGCTCGCCGAGACCAGTCGGGCGGGTGACCATGGGGGGTGACCCACATGGGGAGTTAAGAACAGGGCCCCTGGTACCACCCGCCCGAACCAGGCGCATCCCCCAGGGTGGAGCAGCCCCGTGTCAACCAAGTCGAAAGTGAGCTTGGTAACTCAAATAGGGCATATAGCCTGTCATATAGCATCCGATTCCAAGGCGCTGACCGTGGACATCGGATGGCAAATAGCGTCCATCGCTCTGCTGTAGCTGTGAAGGTACAGTATGAGGGGTGGGCGGATAAGATAGGATAAGATCGATGTAATGATCTTTCCAGCACATAGCGAACACTCGCGGTGTCCGGGCAAATAGGGCGCGCGTGCCTTGAGCCCAAGGCAGCGGCGCGCGAGCTATGCTCCCGATACTGTAACATCTCCTAAAGAGCTACCCTTAAAGTCGGGAGGGGAGGAGACGGAGAGCATAGTCGCACGCAAAAGTCGCGCGCACGACTGTTTGCAAAGAAATGAAAACAGTGCGTACAAACTGGCCAAACGCCAGAATGTAAGGCGAGTTTCCTCGCAAAGTATTTCACGCAAATACAGGACAGCCCCTTCAAATAATGAAGGGCTATCGGCCTAGTTAGAGGTAGGCCAAAATTAGGCCATACCTCACCAAGCAAATGTGTATTAAGGCAAAGAGCCTGAGTTGTATGAAGCCGGCTCGTTGCCAGGCGTGAAATATGAGGCTCGTTTCCGAGCAACTAAAGGGGCGCCTTTATAATAGGCGCCCGTGCTGGCAAACTGGACCGCGAGGGCAACAAGGACAGACTAAAATTGATTAGACTTGGGTTTGTCTCTGTCCTCGGGACCCCGAAAAGGAACAAATTGCTTCACGTCATACTTAAATGACTGAGTGCCTGACATCACTTCCAGAAGCAGCTCCCGATCGATGCTTCCCTTTGTATGCCCATCTGCGGTCATATCCCTAGTATCACACCATTGCACGTTATGTACTATACCTATATCCATAAGCTCACGTATCCAACTGATATGTCCAAGCAGAGTCCGTTCTGTGGGTATTTTGAGATCCCTGCTTGATAAAGATTTGTAGACGGACTCAGCGTCTATGGTCAGAGAGACTTTGATAGCAAGGCCTCCAACTTCACGCATATCTCGTAGTTGTCGTGGAGTCAAGGCCCCTGCCTTAAGCTCATGGAGAGTAATGAGCGTAGGGTAACACTCATCAAGGTTATGTGCGGCTGCAAGTGCCTCCGCAGCATAACTGGACCTCACCTGTAATCGGTGTGATTTGCATAGTCCGTCACAGAGGTGAACGACGGACTTGCCTTGAGGCGAGTTTCCTCGCCGTAGTACGTTGGCCCCGCGAATGCCGTAGCCCTTGGTCTCGTCATCCTCCTCCCCGGTAAGCTTCCGATATCCCGAATCGCTATGGATGTCGACTTCATTCGTCGGCTTCATCCGAGGGAAGGTGATACGTTTCGGACTGCTGATCAGCTTTCGCGTCACAGCATTCAAACGTCTGACTTGTAAATTGGTGGGCTCTTGAATTTTCTGAAGAGAGACCACATATACCATAAGCCAGATTTGAGTAAGAAGGGCATAGGCGAGGGCTCCTCGCAGGCTGACGAACATGTCGGTAATAAGTTTCGTGGCTTTGGCGTCGGCCGCCGCTCCTGTAAGTTCTGGATGTGTGATGGGGCGTGGTTGTTTGATATACTCGTCCTGGTCCATGATCACATCTCCCTGATCATTCTTAGTGTAGCGGACGGCACAGTTCGTATATGTGTGCTTGTTGAGCTTGCATTTGCCAAAAACCTTTTCGACACGTTGTACATAGTCGTCGATATTTTTCTCTAGACCTGTCATATTAATGTCATCGACATGTTTTGCAATCAGAAGATCTTGGCTGAATTCAAATTCAGGATCGTAACTAGTCGGTGAAAGTCCTATAGCTCGTGTGGTCGTAATAAGTTTGAGAGAGAACGCTCTTGGGGCGTCCTTAGTACCCGTTCCTGGTTTGAGGCGCCTAAGACAGTGTCGACTTTCGTCGTAGGATGAGAAGCCGGGTAGGGTACGAAGTACCTGAGCGCTTCCTGGTGGAAGAGTAAAGCAGACCATGCGAGTTTCCTCGCCAGTGGCATGGGCAAGTTCCTCGTAGGTCAAACCTTTTAGGAATGCCTTATCGATATCCATGGATGCTAAGATCCACTCTGGATGACATGCCGCTTCACTTGCCAAGAGTCGTTGAGACTGCCTTCGGGCGGTTCCCGAGAATGTTTCCACATCAAAGGCCTCAGTATCCATAAATCCACGAAGGACCAATCTGAGACGAATGGTTTTAACGTTCTCGGTGCCCATCTTTACGAACTTCCACTTGTATACATATCTGGATGTCATGATGTTGGAAGCTTTGGATAAGTCGTACATCTCAAAGCATCGGTTATCAATCCAGATCTTGAGCTCAGTATATAAGGCTTCACTAACCTCCTTTGGATGTGCTGCTATGTCGGCTTTGGTCAGTAGGTCGTCTCTTTAAGTCCAGTAGCGCATTGATCAGTGCGCACGGTCGTGATGTGTGGTCGGTTGGCAAGCTTCGTCCATGGAGAGATATCGTCCACCCATGTTCCTGTCGGTTGTTCGCGTATAAACCACCTCTGAGCGTCATCTTGGGTAACAGCAATTTTACCACAATAGATTATGTGTGGTAAGTCTTCTCTGTGGTGCTATTCCCAAGTGTTATAGTTGACTTTGTAGTTATCGTAAGATGGTGGTCCTGTGGTGCGGCAGCTGGGTTGCAGTATGGCAACTCGTACGTAGCATATCTTGAAGTAGTGGTCTATCACCTGCTGCACCGAGGGGTCTCCCAGGTCGACATATGTAGTCTTGTCCAAGTTGCCGCCTGAGGACAGTCCCCTTGAGAAGGCAAGCTCTGAGATGCCACCCTCACCACCACAAAGCTCCAACATATCCACGCAATTGTTATGGCCATAGCATAGTGTAGCAACTATGCTGTATATGTCAGCGTGTGTGTCGGGCATAGATGTGGGGAGGGTAAGGAACAGGTCATCGTCCTCGTCGGAGCTTATCAGCTCGACAGGGGCGTCAGTACTCCAGGTTGCCATAAGATCCTGTCCGAGTCCTGACAAGTCGTCGCCGCAATCGTCATTTCCGTCTTCGACGTGCTTTTTAATGCGGCGAGGCTTGATGCCTGCTTCCTTTTCGGCTTTGAGCCTTTCCTTCTGCTTTATACGCGATTCAGTGGGTAAAGCTTGCTCGTTTTGTTCGTCGGTCTGTGTACTCATTGTCGTGGTGGAATGGGTACATGCGTCAATCGCCAGAGTCGGGAGGGGGAGAGAACAGTCATCTATGATGACGCGTCTATGTTTCTGTGGTGATTGAGTAGGCTCGTTTCCGAGCAAGACCGGTTCCTCGGGTTGCCAATGCAACCGAGTACTGATGTTGGCAACCCCTGCAGGTAATGGT